GTTTTGGAGAGAACCATGCTGGACAAATCATCGGAGATGGTGCCGTAGATCCAAGATTGGAGGATATAGTCGGCGCGTTGCCATTCATCGGCTGAAATTGAGTCGGGTCGGGGTTTTTCCATGGAGAAGATCGGAGAGGTAGAAACGACCGACGGTAATTGTGAAAAAATGGCTCCACTTTTGATAGTTGGGATTTTTCAGATCTAGGATGACGGGGATGAGAGATTTGATATTGGAGATGGCATGAGCAAGGTGGAAAGGATTGAGAGGGGCGGTGGGAAGAGGAGCTTCGTCGCCGGCCATGTAGAAGAGAGAGGCGACGGCGTGCTGAGAAGGGGAGGGTGGTGGTGACGGCTAGGTTAACCTAGTGTCTGATACCATATAGGAGAAATATAGTTGAAGAAAGAGAGAATTATATCTCTAACGTATATTAATCATATATATAGCTACATGTAGGAAACCCTAACCTATTACACAAGGTACCTAAGAGATATATACTATAATAAATAATAATAATAATATATACGCTAATACTAATAATTATAATGTTTTGTTTTATATGCAAACTGTTAGAGTAGGTGACTAACAAGCCAACTTGTGGCTGTGGTCTTTACCTTTATTCTTGTAATAAATAAACCTTTTTCGTATTTATGATAAAAACACCTTGGCATTCTATATCTTTGTCCCTTTGTCTCAAACATAGATATAGTCCTTACAGTTATTACAAGTACTAGTAATTGATCTTTAGGATCGTGAGATATTTACTTTAGTATTATAACTGTTAAACATGTTCCTAGTCGAAGGGTTACGCCACCAATGAGGATATCGGCCTTTCCCATTAAGAGACTAGCACTTAGTCTATGTGTACTGTATCTCATCAGTAAACAGTATTGTGATATCGGCATGCATAAGTGGGTGCTCGTAAGTTGACGAGTTCACTGAACTCCCTCACCCTAGAAATCTCTAAGTGGTTCTCAATAATCGAGTAGAGATATCTATGGTATAGTTGTACACCATTAGTTCTTATGACCTAGACATCACCGTGACTTCACTAGAGGACCAGCTGTATCGTTACCTGTCCCTGATTTCCACCGAGGACCGCCCCAAGGGCCAGTGTTCGTGCAGTCCGAAATCTAGTAGGAGGTCTGTGCATTATAGTTGGGGATTCGATCGCTAGAATAGTCTTGGATGTCCTGTTTGTTCTCATAGTTTGTAATCTCTAAGTCTTTGGCCAGAGCCGACTAAGTGATGATTAGAGAATTCGATTCTCTAAGTCATGCACGTACCTATTACAACACTTAGAACGATCGCACAGTTATTGAACTACTAAGGAGGTCTCGATGAACCAATGCGTCTAGTTCAATCGGGACATATGAATCAAATGAATCGTATTGTACGTTAACTATATCAAAAGGTTCTCGCAGGCACTTCATTTGTATCTAGAGAATCATGACGCGTAGTTGCTAGACGCCAATCTTGATTCGTTGGGTGCTTAAGGTCAAACGAGCTTCATCATAATCGTAACTCTAAGGGACAAGTTTTGACCACAAAGGGTTGTGGGCCCATGGCTAGCTTACACCTGAACCATCGATGGTCACACTGCTCGTGCACATGAGATCTTTGAATAAATGGTCAGAGACAAAAATGTTTTATCTTTGCATGATTGGAAGTCAATATGATTGGGTCCAACATTTTTAATTTGGAATTATGAATGAGAATAAGAAAAGGAAAAGAATAGGCGAAAATCTTAGTGAACTTTCTAAATCAGGGAGTTTCTAAATTTAGAAAGTGCACTGAATTAGGGTTTCCACTTTTAGAAAGTTGGAAATCGAGAATTGGCACTCGTAATGACGAGGACATTATAATGATTCCGAAAATGTAATCGTTACAATTTTCTGATCATTGAATTGAGAGAAACGAGCGAGTAAATAACCAACAAACTTAAGTTGTTGGGCCCGATCCAACTTAAGCCCGTTAGGGCTTTTATACAAGACACTATAAATACTTGATTTATAGGTCTTGCACAAAAACAACACATCTAAAACCCTAGCCGATCGCCCCTCTCTCTCTCTCGGCCATACTCACTCACGGCCGCCGCCGTCGCCGCCGTTCCACCGCCGGAAATCGGCCTCCCTTGGGCGATCAATCGTGGTAGTTCTATTCTTCCTTTTATTCTTCCGTTTATTCGAACTATTGCGTGTCTAGTGCCACGTTTTAGTAGATCAAAGTATACGAGGTGAAATCCGTGAGGAGGAAGATCGAAGAATCGAAGAACCGAGGAGCAGCCCCTGAGCCGACGACGCACGCGCTCCCACGCGCCGCCTGAAGACAGCGCGTGATCCTCACGCGCCGCCGTATCTCGCACCGTCGCCGCCGCTGCTTCGCCGTCGCCGCTCCCGGATTGCACAGATTTGTTTCCGTGGCAATCTTGCTTCGTTTCGTGCGCCAACCTCACGCTTCAAGAGGTAATTCTCGAATCCGGTATTCGTTCGAAATTAATTTAATTAGATTAAATTATGCATGATCGTTTTCGTAGTATGTTTTATGAATTTGTATGTTTTATATGTTTACATGAAATTTATGATTTACAGCGAGCACATTAATTAATTTAATGCGAGCATGCTAATTGATTTACTATCGATCAAATAATTCGCATGATTGTTGTTTTTAATTTCGCTGGAAGCGCAAAAGTACGCAATTAATTATTTAATTAACATCGGGCATGTAATTATGTGATTTAAATTCGTTTAATTCGCATAAAATTTTTGTTTTCCACTGCGTACACGTGTCTGATTCCCAACACAAACTTTATGCAATGCTTGTGGACGTACATGAATAATGTTTTGAAGTATTTTTATTTTGTTTTCATTGTTCCCCAAAACAAAATTGTATTTATTAAACTTTTCAAATCATTTTCTGAAAACAATTCAAAAAGGTTTTCTCTTCTTCAGACATAATGTGACTGCTACAGTAAAATAATTTGACTGTTATAGTAAAATGTGTTCACTAAAAAACAGATAAACCAATGTTAATAGAATCGGACGGAACCGGCCGGTCGGACTGGTTCGACCGTGACCCGTCAATAAAGCGGTCCGGTCTGACATCTAAAATTGGAAAAATCGAAAACCGGGGTCAAATGACCAAAATCGGTTCGACCAGGTAAAACCCAAGAACCGACGAGTCAGTCAAGGAACCCGGTTTTCGACCAAAACTTCTCGAATCACCGCAGAGTTGGTTATTTGTTGCTAGATTTGAGCGAACATTCACAGACTTAGTAGTGGGTGGCCGGATCTAATCATGAGAGGTCGAATGATTGTCGGATATGATCTTTTAGGTTAACGAATTGGGGTGGCCGATTGCCGGATTTGAAGAATAAAAAATGAAAAACTATAGAGTATAAGCAATAAAATATAGTAAAACGTGAGGTGTAGTAGATAAAGTGAAAATAATAAGTGAGAGATTAATAATATAAAGAAAATAATATTTTTAAACCATTAAAATTAATAAAATAATGGCATTTTAAAAAAATCAAAAACCCCGTTGAACCGGTTCGACCCTATGAACCCATGACCCAAACGGTCGCACGGTTCTATAGCCGGTCAGGTTCTGAAAACATTGAGATAAACATCACTTCAGCTTTCAATTTTTTTCTTCTAAAATATTTTTGTCTAACACCTTTAAACATGATTTGACTGCTAAAGTGTATTTTGTCTCCTTCCAAAATATAAACAAACATTACTATCATTCTCAAATTCTTCCCCCAAAACATATTTCCTCAAAATGAAATCAAAATAAGTTCCAAAACGCTTCGAAACATTAAGTAAATTTGCCGACGTATTGTAATATGTTGTTTTAACTATATTAAGGGATGAAAATTGGAATGGAATTTCCCATATTTTCATCGATTGTGATTCGAAATTTTCCAGTTCTTGAACAATATTTTTCAATTCGAATTCCGAAATTCCGAGTTCCGTTTTTTCCGAAATTATTTGGATTAGTTGGAGTTGGAATATATATATATGAGACTCTAACTTCGGATCCAATTTTATGTTCCGAAAATAATGCGTGAATTCCGTTTTTTTTTTACCGAATATTACACGAAAATAATACCGATCCGAATTTTTCCAATTTTGGAACAAGTTTTGTCGATCCAATTTCCGAAATTCCGATTCCGATTCTTTCCAATTTTCTTTGGAACGGTATTGGAACTAATTTTTCACTTCTAAAACAAATTATTTTTTTTCTGGAAGGGCTAATTCCGATCCGATTGGTCAGATTTATATCCCTAACTATATTGTATGGAAAAACTGAGTCCATCGATATCAGGATTAAAATTCATCTATAATGTCCATTAATTTTGTTTGTAAGATAATCAAATCTAACATTAAGATTAAATAAAAAAAAAAGGAATTGATAATATTTATTTGAAGCTAAAGTAATTTCGATATTTATATGAAAATTTAAAGAGAAAACATCAAGAGAAAATAATTTTCATTATTATAAAGATGTAATGTCATTTTTTTATCACTGTTGTAGTGAAAAAGAAATTTATATTTCCAAACACATCAACAATTTATAAAAATTAAAAGTACCTTATAAAGCTCTAGATTTATTTTTAATAAAAAAAGGGGTTAATTAATATACTTTGTTTTCGTCAATTAAAATTGTGAAAATTAAAAAATGAGAAATTGGGACTGAAAGTATTAAGTTCTTATGAAATAGGATATTTCAAAAAACTTTAAGAAAAAAAAAAAGAGAAAAGTAAAAGAAATAAATAAATAATAATGATAAAATCTATAACATTTATTTGCATAATCCAAAAGCAAATGACGAGAGAGCACATACCATGTTTGAAAAATTCATCGTCAGCAGGGCTGTATTCCATGGGCCGGGCCAAATTTCATCGCCCACTCACCTCTCGCCACGTCATCAACCATCACGTGCTACTTCCTCTTACAAAAAAAAACATAGTCCAAATCGAAAAAAAAAAAAAGAAAAAAAAAAAACATTTATAGCGCAGTCAGTCAGAAAATCCCCCCTGTAAATTATTTTTAGCGTATACATGGATCCTTGCTCGATTCAGGTGGCTAATGGGAGCCAGCCGCCGCTGGTGGTTGCCGCCGGATCAAGGAGGCGGAAAAAGTGCAGGTCAATGAGAGAGATTATGAGGGTGGCGAAGCGGGTGGACCTGGCGGCGGAGAATGACGTCGGCAGCGGCGGGGATTATTACAGCGAAGTGAGGTGCGAGGAATGCGGCTCCGGGGGAAGAGAAGATGAGATGCTGTTGTGCAACAAATGTGATAGAGGTCACCACATGCTGTGCCTTCGCCCCATCGTGACCCGGGTTCCATTCGGGTCATGGATCTGCCCCGCTTGCTCCACTGACAACAACAACAACAAGAGCTTGATCCAAAGTATATAAATCAAACCATAACAAATAAAAATTACACACACACACGTTCACATCTGGAAACATGTATTGGTTTCACCTGTGGGTGCAAACAGCAAACTAATAAAAATTCAGATGATTTAATCATACCACACGTTATATAATCTGTGTGTGTGTGTGTGTGTGTGTGTTGTGAGAGTGAGAGGAATAAGTGCCCTTTTTATATGTGTTATTATTAGTGGAGATAATCTTTAATTTAAAACCCTTGTTATATATATGTGCAGGTTTTACTGAGAAGGAGATTTTCGATTTCTTTCGGATTCAGAGTGGCGGCGAATTCGAATTCGCAGACAAATGTGATGATGCACCCAAAGGTATACCATCTATTATCAATAATATTCAGTTTTGTTTAATTTCGCATTTCTTCGTGTCCATAGAAAACGGTTATTTTTTTTGGCGGCAAGATGACATTAATAGACACGTGTTTTAGCAGTACGTATATCGACGATCGCATTCATGGGTTACGTGTTTTGAAAAATTTCATGCATCAAGTTACCAAAACGAGATAAATTTCTTTGCGTCGAGTCATTAAGATGTTTTGAATTATTAGTTATGGTATAATAACAAGTTTTGGTTGGGATAGTCGGTTATATATATACAGCTTAACAAAAGATTTTGTTATAATACCTACTCATTTATAAGTTTAGTCATGATTTTCATTAGCCCAATTGTTCTATTAATCCTATGAAAAGTTTCTACAAGATCATGAATACATTATATTCTATTATATTTCAAATAATGTAAGCCATTTTTCACCATTAATTAGTATCCAACTTATGTAGTGATAATACTTCAGTTGGTCCAAATCCGAGATTAATTAATTACTTTGGCCGCCCTTTGCATATTTATTGTTCCACTAATTATGCAGACATATAACAATATGTGCATGAATACATGTTCTTTATCTTACTGAGCTTTAATCTTATTTTAACCATTGAAGGTGACAACCAAAAGGCTTTGATATGTTTTGATATATATTTAACTCTTGGTATCGCCTAATTTCAGATACCAAGAAACGACGTAGACGTACAAGCACATTAGAATTCCGAAAGAAACGAAGAAGATTATTAACACATATTCCATCACAAGATCCTGCAAGAAGACTAGCTCAGATGAGATCTCTTGCCATGGCTATGACTTCACAGAATTTGGAATATAGCAACGAACTCACTTACAACCCTAGCATGGCTCCTAGATCAGCCAATCGATCTTCTTTTGAAAACGGGGGCATGCAGGTTTTATTTTATTTATAAACCTTCTCTAATTAATTTATTTGTTTCCATTTTGGTTGCTCATTTTCATTTTTTCGTCAGATTCTTTGCAAAGAAGATGTAGAGACGCTGAAAAACTGTAGGGCACTGTATAGAAGAGGCGAATTCCCACCTCTTGTTGTAGCATTTGATTCATTGGAAGGGTACTTAATTGTGTTTTTTTTTGTTATTATATGATCAGTTCATGCAATTATATATAGTAAATTATAGCCCTAATATCATATATACGTCAATACGAAAAAGTTCATATTTTATCTTTAGATTGATTTGAATTTGATTGTTGTCACGTGTAAATTTAATGGTGAAAAAAAAAGAGCCGATTACACGTGGCAGAGGTTAGTTGAATACAATAAATTATAAAATCAATGTGAAACTTGTACGTAGGTATACTGTACAAGCTGACGGGCCCATAAAGGATATGACTTTGATCGCTGAATATGCGGGCGGCGTTGATTACATAAGAAACCGGGAGGAAGATGACTGTGACAGTATGATGACTCTCCTTTCTTCAGCCGACCCGTCTAAAAGTCTTGTTGCATGTGCAGATAAACTTGGAAACATCTCCCGATTTATAAGTGGCATTAACAATCACATAGCGTAAGTTTCTAAAACCAATCATATTATCTTATAGTATAAGCTGTACCTGGTGAATTTACATAATTGTTATATATCCGCGTCCATTTACACACATAGACATTGGCATGTATGTATGAATGGTGGAAACACATTTTAATTTGTGGTACGTGAACAATGTATTACTCTTCAAAAGTAGTTTTGTTCTAGTTATGCACCTAAATCGTACACTAGATACACTGCTCACTTATTCAGTTTTTAGTTATGCATACCAATTAGGTGTACCAATTAGTTTATATTTAAATTGTTACATTTTTTTCTTATTAAAAGAAAATTAATACAATATGTCACATTGTCTTGTTAATGACATCATTTGATCTTTTGCAGGAATGGGAGAAAAAAACTAAATATTAAATGTGTGAGGTACAACGTAGACGGAGAATGCGTGGTGCTTCTAGTTGCGAATCGTGATATCGCAAAGGGTGAGAGGCTTTATTACGATTACAATAGTTGTGAGTATGAATATCCAACCCATTATTTTGTATAAATTAAGTTTTTACTTCAAAATATAAAGTTGTAAATTTATTTTTCCTTCAAATCAAACACTCACAGCAGATAGAGAAATAAACCAATTTTTTTACTTCAATTGTATTGTACGTGCATAGAAGTTTACATTAGATTGCGCATGTTTTACACAAACTTTTCACATATATGGAACTGATCAATATTGAGCATAAATTTGATCACTTTGTTAGAATCAACAGTCTTATTGAATATTAGGTAAGTTCAACAAAATTTACTCATCTTGTGTGGAAGTAAACTTAAAAAAACAATTAACGGTCTTATTTACCTTTATTAATCACTCAACAATTAATAAATAATTGATAACCAATTATTTATTAATTGCTCATAAATTACTGAACAATCTACTACTACTACCACAACAACTACTACCACAAGAACTACTATTACTATTTCTACTACTATTACAACATTTATTAATCTCTAAGAAAACAATAAACAATTAGTAACCTATTATTTATTAATTACTCATATATTACTAAAAAAATATGAACCAATTATTAATTAATAATTTATTTTTACTTTGCACCCCGAAAACAAAAATACACCAATAAAAAATGAAGTTGTTGTCATTAAGTTTTAAAAATTCAATTCAATTACATCCTTAATAATGATAATGTTTGCTTGTTGTGTAGACTTTGTGCAATGCTAGCGTGCTAAAATATCTCGAGATATAAAAATGGGTGCTCAATATATGTATTCTTTTTTATTGAAAAATATATATATGATTTTTACGATGTATTGTACTATATTGTGTTAACATACAAGTTTGATAATTTTTATTAGTGTTTGAACTTATTCCATTATGCATGGTTGTTAAATCGAAAATCGAATCGAGAATTGATTTGTCAAAAATTAAAATAGTAAATCGAAACGAATCGTAAATCATAAAATTTTTAATTCTTTCAAATAATATTTTATAGAAATTATATAATGTTATAACAAAATATATGTCTTTTAGAATTTATACATTTAAACTATCAAAGTTGAATATTGAAGAATATAAAAAATTGATTGAATTTAATATAAATAAATAAATGACGTAATACAAGCTCGGTTAAGGTATTATAATCGCTGGCGTGTGAGAAATTCGAGTTAAAATACAAATGCCTCTTAAGAACTAATTAAAATAAAATATTTATGTAACAAAAATAAAATTGAACTCATTCTAATTGATTTTCCTACTTTATTTTATTGCAACAAAAGATGAGGAATAAAAGCAAAAGTAGTATTATATTGTGATTTTGTTTTTGTATATACTTGATTTAGAGCCCGTTTTGCTAAGCTTATTTAAAACATCTTATAATCTCATACATCTGATAAGATGTTTTAGAAGCTGATAATCTGTTAGATCTTATTTTAAGAATTATTTTTGAAGGTGTTTGGATATGTAGCTTATAAGTTACTTTTAGTTTTTATAAGTTGTTCAAGTGTTTGGAAACAAAAGATCTGTTTATCGCTATAATGACAAAAAATGTACATGACGCCATTATAACTGTTAAACTTATTTGACTCAAATACTTTTCTTCATAAAATATTATTATATGTTTTCACAAATTAATTTTTGAAATAAAAATAATAATATAAAATTATATGTTAAATAAACTAAATATTTTTATATGTATGTTGATATGATATATGACAAATCAATGTGAAACTTGCATGTACGTATACTGTAGAAGCTGATGGGCTCATAAAGGATATGACTTTAATCTCTGAATATGCGGGCGACGTTGATTATATAAGAAATCGGCAGGAAGATGATTGTGACAATATGATGACTCTCCTTTCTTCAGCCGACCCGTCTAAAAGTCTTGTTGCATGTGCAGATAGGCTTGGAAACATCTCCCGATTTATAAGTGGCATCAACAATCACGCAACGTACGTAACTCTCTAAAGCTATTCTTCTTTTCCTATAGTAGATGCTATACCTGGTGAATGCACATAATTGTTATATATCCGCTTCCATTTACACACATAGACATTGGTATGTGTGAATGAATGTTGGAAACACATTTTAATTAATGGGGAACAATGTATTAATCTTCAAGAGTAGTTTTGTTCTAGTTATGCACTTAAACCGTACACTAGATACACTGCTCACACTAGTAGAAACCGGCCACAGGCGACGAAAAATTGCGACGAAAATAGGACTCTTGCGACGAAATGAGGACTCCTGCGACGATTTCGATTTCGTCGCAATGGGGGCCCAAATTCGACGCCAATGATCCCGTCGCAAACGCTGCGACGAATTCTTGGTTTCGTCGCTACGAGGGCGACGAACAACCTTTTCGTCGCAAAAAGTCGATTTTATATAATAAATTAGATTTTTGTGTTTGCGACGTTTATATCTACACTATCGTCGCTGCATTCGACGACGTTTGCTTACTTTCGTCGCAAAATAAAAATTTCAACAAAAATAAAATAATATTAGTTTGCGACGAAATATATATATCGTCGCAACATATTGCCACGATATTTCTCTTTTCGTCGCCAATGTTTGCGACGAATGTTAATTATTCGTCGCAAGATTAAGTTCTACCAAAAGAAGATTTGCGACGAAATATAGTACATCGGCGTACTAATTTGCGACGAAAATGATTATATTCGTCGCAAATGTTACTGTAAGTTTTAAATATATATATTATTTTATATAATAAATTACCTGTAAATAATTATTAATTCCACTAAAACAATTAAACTACTAAATTAAATTACATAGCAATTTTAAAGTTGAAGTCTACATAAAATTAAATACCAAGTCAACAGTACATATACGAATCTAGAATTACATAAAAACTTAGAAAAATATTGTAGCATTACAAAATGAAATTAATCCGAATTGAGTCGTTCTTCGCCGTCATTTGAAGTACCCGAATTTGGAGTTTTGGAGATGGGCTGATCGACAATTCCTTTTTGTCTTAAAGTATTAAGTAATGAGTTAAAAGATTCTTTAAGTGAGCTCACTTCATTTCGCGATTCTTGCAATTCTCCTTCTAAGAGTTCGACTGTAGTCTCCAACTCTTCATTTCTAACAGAAGAAAATCTTGATCTTGCAACTTTCTTAGTGGTTGAGCTTTGAATCCCAAGTACTTTTGTCTTACCCAACACTCTTTCACAAGCTATTGAGTCGGCCGTACTTTGATCTTTTCCATCATTAATACACTCTTCGTATACTCTTTCCAAGTCTTCCTGAAAATACAAATAAATAACCATAAATTCATAAATTAAACAAAAAATTGGGCAGCATAACATCTATTGTATGGACATACCAAAAAAATATCAATACATAGAAAACACATCAACAAATTCAACATTTATACCAAACAATAGATCAAACACAATTTAACATATATACCAAACAATAGATCAAACACACAATACCAAAACGAAAAACCCACCAACTAATTCAACATACAAAACAATTAAGGATGAAAACTTACCACAATAGCACGTTGTTCAAGAGTTCCAATCCCAGTATATAGTTCTGCCCTCTCACCCTCCTCCGTGGATGACCCGGATTCCACGAATGGCATCAATGGGTCGATACGCATATAGCCTTTTTTATATTTATCAACCACGGTAGGAGCTTTACCAAATTTTTGAAGTTGTAATAAAAATTTATAAAAAAAATTAATATAAAATATACATGAATATAATACGAAAAATTTAACAAAAAAATATATAAGACTAGACTTACACATGTTCATGAGACCACCCACTAATACTAGTTCGACCCCAATGGTGGTCGGTAGGGATTTTCATTCGGGATTCTTGGCATTTATCAGACTTAGACTGTGAATATACACATGTTAATAAACTTCGATTAAATTTATTTGAACATGACAAATTAGAAAAAAAATCAAAAGAAATATAATTTACCTTGCCATCACCACTGGAATCAGATATAGAAAAAAATTGATCACACAATTCCTCCCATGTAGATGAACTAATCAATCCCTCCGGACGATTTGCCTTAGCAGTGGCAAGATCTGGTGCTCTATCATAAAATTTTTTCAACACTTTAGTTCTATGATCTTTCCAACGAGCATTGGCCGTAGCATTGAACCATTTCTTCGTAGCATCTCGATCAGGAAGTTTCCATTTGTCCTAACAAGAATAAAAAAAATTCATATACAACAAATCAATTTAACTAACTAAGAATTATTATTAAATTTTTAATAATTTCAAATACCTTGAATCGTAACCACAATTGCTCAACCCGACCGTCTTTTTTGTGCTTAGGCCAAGAAATGCAAGGACTAAAAAGGTCACAATGTGTAACTTGACTAGCAATGGCCCGCACCAATCGGTTCCTCCGACGCCCGACTGGAAGACCTGCATCGTTAAAGTCCACGTGTACTACTACATCATAATCTGTGCTCGAACCTTGCCCTGTGCTCGAACCTTGCCCTATGCTCGAACCTTGCCCTGACATAGAAAATACACAAATCGGGTTGGCTGAACAAGAAAACAATGAGTTGTCTAAATGTACAAAACTTGCGCTTCCCTTTCCAGCTATACTTGATTAGTTGTGTTCCTTTCTTCAAAGCAATGAGTACTTTCAGTCAACAAGTCAACAAAATTAAGAGAGATGTTCATATATTTGGTATGAATTGAATTTGAAGTCTAACAGTAATGCAACTAATAATCGTTTTGAGAAATTTCAGTTGGAAAGGAAAAGCATATTTTTATTTTACATATACAGATATACATACTGATGATGCTAAAGATAGATCACCTTAGAGTGTTGAAGTATGATGAGCTGGGAGAGCAAAGCAGATCAGTAGCTTGACAACTTGATGATCCTGAGGTACCTGCAATCATAGAACACGTGAACTAGGCCGGGGGTTGATCCGGCGGAAACCCCTCCGACGCTCAAGTCAGACGTGCGGATAGTGGAAATAGTCCAGAGAATACGTATTGTAGTATTGCTCAGTTAATAGGACGTACCTTAATAAAATGAGTAAAACCTCTATTTATATGTCGTTTATTGGGTTAGGTTTGCTTTGTTAGGCCCAAGCCTTACTTGAAGGTGTTTGGGCCTCGGTGATATTAGTCTTCGATATTGGGCTCGTAGCCCAGTAGGTACAGAAATTGTAGGCCTATTGGGTTGGCCCAATTAGGCATATCATTAAGCCCCCCACTCTCGAGTCGATGTGGGGGCCATGTTGTGATGGGTCTCAGATCGTGTCGAGAGTAAAAATTGTAGAAGTCGATCGTTGGCGTATGGCCTAATGGTATGCGAAAACGCGTTGGAGCGTGTGTCGGAGGGGCGTGAATGCGCGTTGGCGCATAACGCGACAAGGTTGTCGCGATGTAAGTTAATTGAGTCGTCGGTTTTGTCCCGCCACGATGTAGTAGCGAATTATCTCCTCGTGAGAGTTGTCTTGTCGCGGGGTAATAGTGTTGATCGAGTTATCTCCTCGTGGGAGTTGTCTCGCGATAATGTAGTAGCACGGATCAAGTAATCTCCTCGTGGGAGTTGTCTCTGGGGTAATCGAGTTGATCGAGTTACGTCCTCGTGGAAGTTGTCTCACGATGATGTAGTAGCACAGAGTTAGTACTCTCCTCGTGGGAGATTTTATTTTTCGACATTGTCAATGTTTTGACGCGTTGCTTATATGTGTTTACATATAGCCTTGTGCGTGATGTACTTGAGGAGGGGATCAGGCTCTCAAGATTTTTTTTTGTTTTATGGGGGTCGTGCCCCTTGTTAGACCTCGTGGGTCTTAAGTATGTTTGGACCGTGGCCACGTTTTAATGAATGACCCATTGAAAACAAGTAGATAGATTTGAGTAATCAAGCTGGCCAGGCTATATAGATTCTCATACTGTCTCTAAGTGATTCTAGGGTTGTAATCGTGCTAACTTGAGCTTGTGATTATATAGTGATTTTCAGGCGAGTTGTCTCCTCATGGGAGTTGTCTCGCGGTGAGTAATATTTATCGAGTGAGGTGGTTGCACGTGGGAGTTGTCTTGCAACGAATTTGTAGTGTCGAGCGAGTTGGCTCCTCGTGGGAGTTGTCTCGCTGCGGGTTGTAGTATCAAGCGAGTGGTCTCCTCGTGGGAGTTATCTCGTTGTGGTTTCGTAGACCCGAGGGAGTTGGCTCCTCGTGGGAGTTGCCTCGCAACAGGTTATAGGACAGAGCGAGTGGTCTCCTCGTGGGAGTTGTCTCGCTGTGGTGTTGAGATCCGAGGGAGTTGGCTCATCGTGGGAGTTGCCTCGCAACGGGTTGTAGGATTGAGCGAGTGGACTCCTCGTGGGAGTTATCTCGCTATAGTTTAGAGACTAGAGGGGGTTAGCTCCTCGTGGGAGTTGTCCCGCAACGGGCTATAGGGTGGAGCGAATGGTCTCCTTGTGGGAGTTATCTCGCTGTGGTTTTGAGATCCGAGGGGGTTGACTCCTCGTGGGAGTTGCCTCGCAACGGGTTGTAGGATTGAGCGAGTGGACTCCTCGTGGGAGTTATCTCACTATAGTTTTGAGACTAGAGGAGGTTGTATTATTGCGCGAGTTGGCTCCTCGTGGGAGTTGTCTCGCAAGGGAGTTGTAGGAGCATCGGATGGCGCGCGACTGAGGAGTGCGCGGACAGAGGTCGCTCTGAGCGAATTGTCTCCCCGTGGGAGTTATCTTGAAACGGGTTGTATGGCCGAGCGAGTTGTATTACTGAGCGAGTTGGCTCCTCGTGGGAGTTGTCTCGCAAGCCCCCCACTCTCGAGAGGATGTGGGAGCTACGTTGAAAAGGGTACCGGATCGTGTCGAGAGTAGATCGGTGCTGTAATGTTTCGTTAGTCGTTGGCATGGCGTGGAAAAATAATTTTTTTTTTTATCCGTTTGATAGCAAGCGCGATTTGGTAGGGGCGTTGAAGAGCTCGCGCTATTTAATTAAGCGAGGTGGAACTATCAAGCGATTTGATGGAGTGCAAAGAAATTCTCGCGCGATTTAGTGAAGTGCGTCAAAATCTTGACGTGATTTGAGGTAGAGTTTCGAGAGTTGCGCGCGACCTCAGGTATGCGCGCGCTAGGAGGTTGGATGGGCGGCACGCATTGGAGGACGCTGATGTGCCTGAGTTCGCGCACACTTGGGGTCCGTGCGCGCATTAGCCCACAGAGGGGAGGCACGCGCGCATGTATTGTACGGAGAGAGAGAGTGTGTAGCTGTTGAGAATTTTATGAGGAGTTGATAGGGACTTCCTCGAGAATGGCGCAACATATTGCTTTATTCACTTTTTTTTTTTTTTTTTTTTTTCCCCCTTTTCGGGAAGCGTGCCGAGCGCGCGCCTCGGGAGTCGTGCCCGCGCGCGCCTCGGTAACCGTGCCCGATTTTTTGTTTTGCCTCGGGAAACGTGCCCGTTTTTTTTTTTTTGGGAAGCGTGTCGGATGCGCGCCATCGGGAAGCGTGGCGTGTGCGCCTCGAGATTCGTGCCCGCACGCACCTCGGTAATCGTGCCCGAGTTTTTTTTGCCTCGGGTAAAGTACTTGTTTTTTTTTTCGGGAATCGTGCCCGTTTTTTTTTTGGAAGCGTGTCGGATGCGCGCCTCGGGAATCGTGCCCGAGTTTTTTTTTTTTATTTTATTTCGGGAATCGTGCCTGTTTGTTTTTTTTTTTTTTTTTGAATGGAGCCGCGCGGCTTGGCTCTGGCGCGCGCGCGGCCCGGCTCGGCTTGGCTGCACCTTCCTCTTCTTTTTTTTTTTTTTTTTTTTTTTTGTATGAGCCGCGCGGCTTGGCTCGGGCGCGCGCGCGGCTCGGCCCTGGCGCGCGCGCGGCTCGACTTGGCTGATTTTTTTTTTTTTTTTTTTTTTTCTTCTTGTTCTTGTATTTTTTTTTTATCTTCTTTTTTCTTCTTCTCTTTTTTCATCTTCTTCTTTTTTCTTCATCTTCTTCTTCTTTTTTCTTCATCTTCTTCTTCTTTTTTTTTCTTCTTTTTTTATTTGGTTGATATTCACCCCCTTGGGGATGTTCTATTTTCTGAGTAGGAAGATTATCTTCGTCTCTTGCGATGTGATATGAACCCCTTTGGGGATGTTTTAGTTTTTGAGTAGGGAGATTACCCTCGTTCCTTGAGATGGGAAGTGCACCCCCTTGGGAATGTTCTATTTTTTGAGTAGGGAGATTATCCTCGTTCCTTGAGATGGGATGTGCACCCCCTTGGGAGTGTTCTATTTTTTGAGTATGGAGATTATCCTCGTTCCTTGAGATGGGATGTGCACCCCCTTGGGGATGTTATATTTTTTGAGTAGGGAGATTATCCTCGTTCCTTGAGATGTGATGTGAACCCACTTGGGGTTGAAAGGTAAGGGTGATGTCCAACCTTAGGATGGGGATAACTGTCCACTGTAGGATGAGGCGCTCGAGACCTATGGTCTTAGGTGGATGCGCACGGTTGTGCCATTGGTTCGCGCGTGCGCGTCAGACCATTTTTTCTGTTTTTTGAAGTAGGGACGTGAAACACTTGATGGGATGTTAAACCCCTTGGGGTTGAAAGGAAAGTGGATGTACCACCCTTGAGATGAGATACCCAACTTTAGGATGGGATAGCCCCCCATTTAGGATGAGGCGATCACGAACCACTGGGGTGAGATGCCCAACCTTGGCGATATATGGTGCCACTGATTCAGTGGCATCACGAGTTGAATCTTCCGTGATCATACGCTGAAGGTCTTCTTCGGTTATCTGAACCGTTCGAGAAGTAAGTAGAAATTGATCATGTTGAGGACCTAGTGGGGCCTCACGACGAGGAGCGTTGGCTCCTGCTATGACGATGTATGATGCCACTGCTTCAGTGGTAGCACAAGTTGAAGCTTCCGCGATTATACGCTGAAGGTCCTTATCGGTTATCTGAACCGTTAGAGGAGCAAGTAGAAGTTGATCTTGTTGAAGGTTCGGCGATTCATATGCTGAAGATCCTCTTCGGTTATCTGAACCGTTTGAGGGGGGCGGAAGTAGACCCCCAGAGAGTCGATGACCCATGGCGAATGAAATGTTTCGGGGGCACTGTGAACCCCCAGGGAGTCGATAACCCTTGGCGAACGAAATATTTTGGGGGCGATGTAAGCCCCCAGGGATTTGATAACCCTTGGCGAGCGAAATATTTTGGGGGCAGATGTAAGCCCCCAGGGAGTCGATGGTGGTGGTGCCATAGGTGGCTCCAAATGTGGAGCAGGTGCTGGTATCGCGTTGGGAGCATTTGCTCCCATCGTGGCGATATATTGGGTCACGGCCTCTGTGGCAGCGCGAGTTGAAGCTTCTGCTATCATGCGTTGAAGCGCATCCTCGGTTATTTGAACCATTCGAGGAGCAGGGAGTGGTGGATCGGCGAGTGGTGGGTCCCGAGGGGGGATCACCTGAACCTCGCGAGGCGGATCCATGGGACGTGGAGGAGGTGTCAAGCCAGAGCCTCCACGAGGTGGGAGGTCGTTAGCTGTGTCATTTTCTCTCCGAGCAGACGCCTCAGGAGGATCTTGTTG